TACACACATACAGAGAGCATGAACAGGTGGGAGTTGTCTTACCAACTTAATTGGCCTCTCAGAGTTGGTAAGACAACTCCCACCTGTTCATGCTCTCTGTATGTGTGTATATATATCTCCTCAATGTTTCACTCTATATGCATCTGAAGAAGTGGGTTGTAGCCCACGAAAGCTTATGCTCTAATAAATTTGTTAGTCTCTAAGGTGCCACAAGTACTCCTGTTCTTTTTGCGGATACAGACTAACACGGCTGCTACTCTGAAACCTGTCATAGAAGACTAAGTGCCCTTTTCAAAAGTGCCTTAGGCACATAAGGGGAGATTATCAAAGGCACAAATGGCAGGTGCCTAACTCTTGTTGAAAATTAAAGTTACCACTTGTGCCTTTGTTCTGTTTCAGAGTTCTGTTTCACTGAAAGTCAGTAGGACTTCGGAACCTTTGTCCTATTTTCAAAAGTGACTTAGGCTCCGTAGATGCTTTTGAAAATTTTACCCTGGATCTTCATTTTTTTAGACAGTATTCTGTAAGGATTCCATTTTGTTTTGAAATCTGTCTTCAGCATGTTATTTAGCATTTGCTTAAGAGAAAAGCAGAAGACAATCTCAAAGACTAGAGTAACAAAAAGTAACTTTAGACCTTCTGCAGCTGCAGTAGAAATTTGATTTCACCATAGGCAATGTATTGACATAGATACTACTGTATTCAACAGAATATTTGCACTGTCCAAATGAAATGTCTTTTTTTTTTTTTTGGTCTCTCAGCTACTTTCAGATAAAGTTTTTGTACATAGGACTAGCTGTATTGATTAGATAACGTGCATCTCTGAAACCAGAGATGACCTAATAAACTACAAAGAAACTAGCATCTGATGCTTAAAAACAAGGCTAAAATTTAACCCAGATATACCAAAATTAAATAGGCAGTGTTTTTATACTTCTATGACTTGATATAACAGTCATAAATTCAAGGTGTACTGATTTGTAAGGATGGACAAATAGTAATTAATTATTTAAACCGTGATACTCAGACCTCAGTGGTTCAGGAGCCAAATGAGTGATCAGCGTTATCCAAAAGAGCCCCAGTAGTGTGAATTCATTGTTTCATTTACTATCGTACTATATATTCATATTTACACAGTATGACAGGGGAAATGTGATATTTCCTATGTAGGGCGAATAAACTCTCCATCTAATACATCTGTTTCATAGGTAACTAAAATGCTTTTATAAAGAGATTCAGACCCAGATTCTCTGCTGCACCCGAGCACAGTGGAGGCAATGGCTGGTGTAGGGCTGTTGCAAAGCTTGTTACGGCTCTCTGATTCTCAGGTTGTTCCAATGGTCCCTATAGGCTGTCCTCCAGCTGGGCATATAAACTGACTATCCCCTCCAGCATAGCTTGCTCACACACTCCTGGTCTGGCCACGAACAGGGAGTGGCATATAAGCTGGCTCTACCCCAAATGAAGATTCCTCATGCCAAGCAAATTATCAGGGGCTGGTTTCCAGCTTCTTTGCACCAGCAGGAAGGGACCAAGGCATTTCAGATGCATCCATTTATCAGTCACTGCCAGCAGAACAGTTATTCAAAGTTACTACTTGCACATGGCATAACAATAGCCGAAGGATCGGGGTGACATCATTGCCCCATTGAAATCAATGGCAAAACTCCAATAGACTTCAGCAAGGCCAGGATTTCACCCCAGGTAGCTTGCTTTTTTCAACGCTCCTCCTCACCTTACGAACCACTTCCTTCATTATTGGAACTTTCTAGGCCTTCCCATCACTGTTGGCAAAGCATTTACACTTGTCTGTAATAGTGACAGAAGCAAATCTGTTCTAGAGCTACATGTATCATGGCTAGCAGTGGGCCACTTCACAAACAATGGTATGTGAAAGAGAAAAATTTCATGTTTTATTAATAAGTGGTTTTTATCCAGAGTTAAACGTCACTATTTTTTCCAACAAGCATGGCGTGTTATAGAAAAATTCTGCCCTCTCGGAAAAATTCTGAATTTTCATGCATCCCCCCCAAATACACCATTTTCTT